ACCTTGAAACTATATTTTACTGACGACTCGTATATATGGTGGTGTTTTCGTGTTTGGCCGGGTGAACACCATCAATCACCTAGATTTGCACCGAAACAGAGGCCATTTCGTTATGTTCTTGGTGAGACACGCGATCGATACAAGCCTAGCTCCCAACAATGATACGGGGTGAGGGGGGGGGGTAGAACATGACTCGGATACAACAGTTAGAACGTATTGTATTGATCATGGCACGAGAACTACTTGGTGACGCACCAATCAGAGTGCGTCCTTGACACTCCAATTGGTCGATCGGACGACGGCCATCTGGTTCGCCCTAGTCATCCAATCCGGAACCGACTCGCCTTGGGGGTCGCAATCGCACTTGTGGTTTGACGCGGATCCATGCGCGATCTGACGGGTTCTGTGCGCTCCGTCGTAACAGTTTCAGAACCCGAACCCAGTTTACCTCCTACAGTCCTAAACGTCCTTCGACTCTCCAATCCATTCCGCTGTGTTTCAAGGAACCAGTCTATTTCGTTTCTCCCTCTCTTTCTCTTGATACATAAAGGATCCGTACACCGAACCTCATTCAAACGGTCCTCTCCAAATCTCTCTTCGATGAACTTTTGCAATTGGTTCCCATAAGGCTCTCTTTAGCTAAATGTTCTCAATTATGTGTGTTGTATCTCTTGGAAACTTGAATTGGGTTTTCATAATCTTTCGCATCTCGCTGTTTTCGGTCAGCTTATCACTCGAAACACATGTGCGAAATATTGGGGTCTTATTTCCTCTCACAGTCCATACTTGTTTTAAGTATTTTGTTGTGTATAGCTTCGTAAGTTCTCCTTTGAACGTATAGACTTCGAAAACATTGTATCCCCCTCAATGCGTTTTTTGAAACGTTTTTTTTCGTATTCCCCCCTTCTTCTGTGAGACAACTGGACTCTTCCAAAAAGTTAGGATAACTCTGTGACATTTTTGGTCATTTTAACCACATATTATCGGCTTATTCCTGTTCCAATCCCGACAACCGTCAACGGTGCAACATTTTCATGTTTCCATTAGTGAACTAATCGAATCCGCATTTATTTTTTTCGTGCACTGGCTGAGCATCTTTCATGGTAATATGCGCAAAGAGAAACACTCCGCGAAACACTCGCTGTCTGTCTGTCTGTCTCTCTGTGTGTGTGAACAATTTTGTTCACCAAATCAGTTGTGATGGCTGCGCAAAATTGTCCTTCTCACCATTCGTGCACATTATGTGAAAGGTTCAAATCGATCTGTGCGTCCAATATATATGATACAACGAAAGTACGTCAGTTTCCATCATTCCAGTTTATATATATATGTATATATATATATATGGTAATTTTATTTTGTTTCTTTTATCCAGGTCATAGTCATAGTTTTAGAACTTTAAACTGTGATTTGACCGAAATTCGATCGTGCATTTCTATAGCGAGGATCGCGACTTCCTTGCTTTTGAAATGCCTGTTCAAATAGGCTCAGACATTGTTGTTCTCTATTGTATTCTATCACTGACTGAGCATCTCCAGGTTTTTTTCGTTTTCAAAAGTTTTACTCTTTCTCTGCCTTGTTATTTACACTTTCGAAACTTTTGTCTTTTAGCATTACTGCATTCTAAGAGCGCTGATCCTGACGTGAAATCCATTGCTCATAGTGTCGTTCTACACATGGGGAACATCCGGTAAGTGTTCGTGGTCCGAGTTTCATTTCCGATTTCTTGTCAATGTATATCCCCCCCTCCCTCGTTTGCTTTCCCCAATCCAATACTTCGCTAGTTAGAATCCTATTCGAAATGATTCTTTTCTATGGTTCCCGGTTTGCAGTTCTCTTTCCTCAATCAAACATTTTCCTCTCCAACACTGATTGATCGATCAGGAAGCACGATTCGCATCCGTTGGGATTCAAAATTCGATTTGCCCGGTTTGAATGCCTAGAGGACAATTGAAATCAAATAATTAGGAATGAGGTTGTTCAACAAGCAATGATTATGAGGGCCAATGCACTAGAGCATTCATCTATTCTGATGATTCTTATCGGTATTGGCGAATGAAAAACAGCACTGGTTTTTTCTTCTCAATTAATTCCATTCTATTTTCTGCTCTGTCGTAACATTTTAGTGTATTATTCGAAATGCAACGGAATTTTTGGTGTAAAGGGCAACAGAGAGCACCAACTAGTTGCTTTGGTGGGAGGCTTTCGATTGGAGTTAACAAATTATCATCTGTCTCCTTCGCTGCTGTCGAACCAGATGAACTGACTGACTGTCACTGAAGACGACACCTGAACTAACATGAATTGGCAGTTTGGTTCAACCATGGTATGAAGTGATTAGCACAGTGGTAACACACACACCTTCCATTCGCTGGGTCCGGAGTTCAAATCCCGGACGGGACGGTGGATATACACTACTACTGATGAGCTTTAATAAGAGTGAAACTCCAGTCTAGTACTTCCGAGTGTACGGTTGGATCAATGAACTGAGGATTGTGCCTGAAGGCGAAGTTAGAAGGATAGTCAGTCAAGTCAATCAATAGTTGTTTTGTGTTTCGTAGTATCATCGTCAGTATGTGCACTATGGAAGTATGCCTATCGGGACAGCCCTCGGTAACAGTGAACTATCACGGATAATGCAAATTAAAACGGTTTATCTCACATTATGCAATGAACTATACGCGAATGTAGGTTAGATCCGTATGAAAATGTGCATTTGATATCGCTAATTCCTCGTCAGACTAACGGAAATCAGCACACAGCGAAAATATCCCTGGTCTCCTTCGAATCGCAGCGCATGCTTGATTTAAATAGCCATTCAGATTTCATCATCCAAATAGAGGAGAATGAGATTGGTCTTCCGATATCATTTGTTCTAATGCTCTACTTGCCAGTGCCATAATCGGGTCCTGTGCATTTACAATATATGAGATATTGGTGCAATTTGATGATAGAATCGCCATTATTATTGTGCAATTTTTCCCAATCAATTAATCTTATTTTCCATTGCTCTTTTCCACGAGATCCACATTGTGTTTGTTGAACTCATTGTCGGTAACTGTCCCATTTCCTAACGGTAAAGTATAGAAGCAAATTGTCCGATTCGTCATTTTGTCCGCATGCGCAAATCCCTCTCTCTGTCTCTGTCTCTCACACAATGTTAGCAGTATCTTGATAAAGTTGTGCACAAACAAGGTTGAAAGTTTTCTCACTCCATGCTGTTTGCCCAAACGGTGTAGATCCTTACAACCATTAACCATGCCCACTATANCGAGTACAAAACACTAGCCCCGGAATCAACATAATCAGTAGTTGCTCGCAAACACACGAAGTTTGACTGTTCACACATACAGCGCGCACATTTTACTCTCCTCGCTCATGTATGTTGCGACGTGTTTTTATCTAGTAGTTTTATTCATCTATCTCTGTATTCAACTGGCCTGTGGAAAGCAAGTTTTGCGCATCCCTTCTTTTGGTGCAGTTTTTTCTCGAGGCTATGATAGCTTTTTGAATGCCAGATAATGTTTGACTTTTCTGGGTTGGGACGTTTTTATCGTACAGATTTGACTTTACACTCGCGTTGGGTATTTTGGGATGAATAATCCGCTATCCGTATCTTTCTCTCAAATGTTTCCCTGAGATTATGTCAGGTTGGGACCGAACTGGGTTCCGGTGCTCATGATCTCTAATGCGATAGTGTATCTTTGCTTCTAAATTCCACATTTGTGCAACATTTTTTCGTTTAGTCTCACTTGTACTTTAATGTTTCTTGTTCTCCAGGTCCATCGTAAATCATTTCAACGCGAAAATAGCGGCATTTGAGAGTGCAAACGGTCTCACCTCAGTTACGGAGAATCAGGTGAAATAAATACTAATGTTCTGCTGTATTCACTCGTATAACTTATTTTATTCTTTTTTTAGATTACTGTACTCTAACCATGTGCCGTCTCCATACTCCGCGTATTATCTTTATGTAACTTTTCTTATCACAGATTAGCCCAGGTTCGTGGAATCTCTTCATCCAATAGAGAAGTGCCATGACAACCACGAAGCTCCGAGGCTATTCGATTTCGTCAATTTTTCTCCTGTATAAACCTGTCCGATACAACAATGTGTTCGTTTGACGTCACTTCACCGTTCTCAGATATCCTCTTTTAATATTGACAGAGCTTCCGAAAATAATTATTTTACTGTGCACGGTGAGCAGCCCCCAGTGAAATCGGTGCTTTCCCGTCCATGTTCCGTTTGTCTCATTGGGTGTATGGGACCAAGGGCCAATCCCCAAAACCGAACGGATAATCGGTGCACCAGCGAACCGCACACTGAACCGAAACCCGAAGGCCTGCATGATAGGTTTCTAGAAGTTCTAACACAGGTGCTTCGTTCACATTCCCGCGTGGAATCTACGCCCACCACCTTTTGAGTCGAGGGTTCCCAAAGAAAAACTTGTTCCTCGGTATAACTACCCCGAAGTCTTTCTTCTCTGTTCAGTTCTTCTCATTCCTAGATTCGTACGAGATACCTTCTGTTCACGTTACCCATCGGTTATCATTCAGCGTTCAACCAACCAAAAGCTCTCAGATTTTTGAAACCAAAATCTTTTACTCACCTAGTTGCATTTTATGTCCGAGCAGTTTATCACATCTGTCAATAAGCTACGTTAACCAAAACCGTTAGAACTTTCAATTTAGACGTATGGTTTGTCTCCGAAACACGCATACAGGACCCTACTTCAATCATCACCTTGAGGTCTCCAGATCCAACCTCATCCTCACGCTTTACCCTTCGTGTGTCAGGCGATTCGGCATCCGAAGCTCATGGTGTTGTTGTTGTCGGGATTGCGCTAAATGTCAAGACCGACCGTTCAATTCTCGACTGGATTCCGGTTAATAACCGACTATGCGCCGTAAGTCTGGAAGGTTCACTACGGATCAAAGCAGAACAGAACAGAACAAAGCCTTGTTGTCTATTCGTCGTATCCGAGTATGCACCGACTGATTGCTGTTCGCCAGAAATTCTACAGGAACCTCTGTCAATCGCTCCAAAGTGCTCGGTCAACGGACATCGTGGTGGTCGCTGGAGACTTCATTGCTCAAGTGGGATCCCTGAACGAATCAGAAAAGGGTTTCTTGGTGGTACAATCCAATCAAACCTGACAAATTCAACTCTACGCTGATCACGAACTGCTCCGGTCAAGCACCAACTTCTCGCACAATAAACGGCACCGCCTTACATGGAAACCAACCACCTATCCGCAGCGCTGGACTCAAATTGACCACCTCACCATCAGCTACCTCTGGCAAGGATCCTCTGAAGAGTGCCGCTCTTACTGGTCACCACCTGTGAACACAAACCATGCTGTTCTACGAGCCAGGTTAACAAACGCGGAGAAGCCACCGGGCACTGATGTCCGCATTACTGTATGAGCGATAATCGCAAATCGGCCTTCGAAGCGGAACCATCAGATCGCCTCTCAGCTCAACCACCAGCCGAAGAACTCAATGAATACTGGACGGCAATCAAAGAAGCGACCTAAATGTCAATCGATACAACGGCGGATTCTGGCGCACGATCAAAGCAAAAACCATGGTTCTCCTTGACATCGGCTGCCCTGCTGGACGCTCATAAAGCCATTCCCTCTAATGCGAAATACGACAAAGCGCGCAAATCCTTTAGACGCCAGCTGATCAAGAGCTGGAAAAATAACTGCGAGAAGAGGAGTACCGGCCCAAGGAAAGTAGGTGCAAGTGGGGTACTTAGGGGTTTTACAGTACACAGATTCATCAGCAAAACCGCTGTCTAGAACAATGGGAAGAACATTTTAAGACAGTTCAGCAGGCCCCCGTCGACGCAAAATCTCCCTTCAACTGGGCAAATACTAGTAGTTGACATCAGTCTTCTCTGTGAAATGGAAGTCTCCTGGGAAATAAATTATCTGGCTTCAGGCTTCCGGCCCCGACGGGCAGTCGTCATCAGTTTTTAAGGATGGAGGTTTAGCTTTGGTTCTGGAATTAACGAAACTTCAGAGATCCGTGTGGGAGAGGGAACAAATCCCAAGTGAACAGTATGAGTCGGTCATCATACCGATTTACAAGATAGGCGGCAGATCCTCTTGTGTAAAGCACGGAAAAATTAGTTTAATCAACATCGTTTCTAAGCTTCTCGTTGGTTTTATACCTCGTCGATTATCTGCCGCAGGTGAACGGTGTACGCGTGAGCACCTGGCTGATTCTATACCTGGTCGAGGTTATTGTTCAGCAATCGGAAGATTTTGGAGTCCTACTGGTTGAATTCAACACAGCGTATCCTAACTTGAAATCCACTTACAAAGTAGAGAAGGAAAAAGTCGCTAATTTTCCCCTATATTTCAATAACTCAGAATGTGTAACGGTTCTATTCAACGATCCATTGTCCATAGACAGATTTGTCTCCGACAGCACTTCCACTTTTATAACTTTGCATCCATTTAACAAAGGAGAGCCTTTGTTTGAACATTCTAGGTGAAAAAATGCGAAGAAGACATCTTTCTGAACGAGTCTGCAAATATCTTAACGGCGTTAAGCGAGAGTAAATGTTCAGGTTCGTTCGTCCGTTTTCACAGTCAGACATGAAACCAGAGGCAAGTACCCATTCATTGGTGTATAAAAAGGCTGTTGGCATCTCCTTCTCATACCACGCAAAGTTAACAACGCATTTTATCACACAGCGTCTCCAAAATGCCAAGCAATGAACCTACAATGCTGCTACGGCAAACCTCTATTCGATCACAGTGAGTCTCTTCATGCCCTCATTCAGGGATCTCTATTTAGTCGAATGTATTACTCTTCCATCTACACTTTTCCTGACAGCTACAAGGAAATAGACATTGACCGGACCTACTGACCCCTGCGTTACGCATGCCACCAAATAAGTTGCCACGACGCGCAATGTTTGCCAAGGCAGGTAGTGGGTGGAAAAAAGCCAAGGGTGGTCATGCTAAGACCTAGCGCGAGGGTATGAAATTCCTACCTAGGGTACTGGGTCACATGGGTCCCGTTAGGCTCCCTGGATCGGGAGCTCGGGATGACCATAATCGATGACTA